CGGCAGCGGCGGGCCTCTGCTGCTGCTGCTGCTGCTGCTGCTGCTGCTGCTGCTGCTGCTGCTGCTGCTGGTGCGGCAGACGCACGCGGCGGTGGTGTTGCTGCTGCTGCTACGGCGGGCGCGCCGCCCCATGCAAGCAGCTGCTTCTGTTGCGCTGCTGCTGCTGCTGCTGCTGCTGCTGCTGCGGGGGTTGCGGGGCTTCCGTGCAGCTCCCGCAGCAGCTGCTGCTGGAGGTGCTGCTTTCCCTGCCACAGGTGCTGCAGCAGCAGCGGCTGCTGCTGCCGGCGATGCTGCTGCTGCTGCTGCAGCAGCAAACGCTTGGTGGTCTCCTAGCAGCAAAAAAAACAGCCCCAGGCAGCCAAGGCCAGGCTGCCTCTGGGGTGGCTAGCAGCAACGCAGCACCGAGGGGGGACAGGGCTGCTGAGCTGCTGCTGCTGCTGCTGCTGCTGCTGCTGCCACGGCTACTGTTGCTGCTGCTGCTGTTTCTACCCTGCTACTCCAGAAAGACAGACACTTAAATTGCTGCTGTTGCTGCGGCCAGAGTCGCAACAACCGAAACAGGGCAGCAAGCAAAACTCAGCAGCCGCCACAGACGCGGCTGCTGCTGCTGCTGCTGCTGCTGCTGCTGCTGCTGCTGCAGGAAGACTGAAGATGAGACAGTAGCAGGGGGCCCACTCTTTGGTAAGAGAGGCATAAAACATTTCCCGCCGGATAAGGGAAGCTGCAGCAACTGCTGCTGTTGCTGCTGCAACTGTTGCAGCTCGGAGGCTCCAGCAGCAGCAGCAGCAGCAGCCACACGCATGCCCCGCTGCTGCACCCCGCCCCGCCCCGTCGCCCCCACAGCAGCAGCAGCAGCAACTCCCGCTGCTGCTGCTGCTGCTTCCGCTACAGCATATCCCACAAACTTCAATTTCCGTAGTAAGAATCTGCTGCAGCATTATCCTGTGAGTTGCTGCAGCCAACGGGCACTTCTGTTTGCTGCTGCAGCAGCGCCGCTCACCCGCCGCCGCCGCAGTGGCAGCCGCAGCAGCAGCAGCAGCAGCAGCAGCGGCGGCGGCAGCAGCTGCTGCGTCTAAGTAGTAATGAAATTAATGACAAAAAACAGTTTATTAGTATTTTTATTTTAATTTTTTCGAACTTGTGTAGACCCTTAGCTGCATATCTGGGCCTGGGGTTCCCCTGCTGGGCGCGGGCGCGCAGCAGACTCCGCTGCTGCTGCTGCTGCTGCTGCTGCTGCTGCTGCTGCAGTCTTCAGAGCAGCAGCAGCAGCAGCAGCACCGACAAAGCCCCTGCAGATGCCATACTGGGGCTCCGGTGCTCAGCGCTGCAGCAGTCTCGCAGATTGCTGCTTCTGGCGGCTTTTGCTGCGCTGCTGCTGCTGCTAAGTGCTGCTGCTGGGCTGAGTGCTGCTGCTGTCGGCTTCTGCTGCGCTGCTGCTGCTGCTCCAAAGGCTGGGGCCCCCCACGCTGCTGCCCAGCAGCTGCAGCAAGCAGCTGCCCCTCTTCTTAGCTGCTGCTGGCCTGAAGGCAGCAGCAAATCTTGCTTCCGCAGCAGCAGCTGCTGCGCTGCTGCAGCGCTGGGGCCGCAGCGCAGCCGACTGGCTGCAGCAGGGGGGCCCCCTGGGGGGCCCCCTGCTGCACAGCAGCTGGGGGGCCCCCTGGGGGCCCCCCTGCTGCACAGCAGCTGGGGGGCCCCCTGGGGGCCCCCCTGCTGCACAGCAGCAGGGGGGCCCCCCGCGCATGCGCAGCAGCAGGGGGGCCCCCGCTGCAGTTAGATGCAGCAGCTTAGGGGCCCCTAAAGGGACTAAAAAGAATAAAAAAATAGACGAAGACACGGAAGTGTTAGAGTTCTTTTTGCTGCTAAGATAAGAGCAGCAGCAAACATTTGAAAACCCCAAAGGCTCAAAAGGGGCCCCCAAAAACCCTAAACCCTAGGGCCCCCAAAAACCCTAAACCCTAGGGCCTCCAAAAACCCTAAACCCTAGGCTGCTGCTGCAGCTAATTTTGGCGAAAGTTGGGGCTTCGCAGCTGCTCGGGCTGCTGCTGCAGCAAAGCAGCAGCAACTGTGTCCATTGCTGCTGCTGCTGCAGCAAAGCAGCAGCAACTGTGTCCATTGCTGCTGCTGCTGCCTGTAATAATAAATATTTGTTAATTTTAAAAGCTTTAATAGTTTTTAAAAGTTTCACTTTAAAATACTAATTGCATCTTGGCGAGGAAGCAAAACTGCTGCTGCTCCACTTCTCTGCAAAAGCTCCGCTGCTGCAGCTGCTGCTGCTGCAGCTGCTGCAGCTGCTGCTGCTGCAGCTGCTGCTGCTGCAGCTGCTGCTGCTGCAGCTGCTGCAGCTGCTGCTGCTGCAGCCAACTTTATTTCCAAGTTGCTGCTGCTGCAGCAAACTTTATTTCCGAGGCGATGTTGCTGCAGCAAATTTTATTTCCGAGGCGATCTGCTGCAGCAAACTTTATTTCTGAGGTGCTGCTGCTGCAGCAAACTTTATTTCCGAGGTGCTGCTGCTGCTGCAGCAAATTTTATTTCCGAGGTGCTGCTGCTGCTGCAGCAAACGTTATTTCTGAGGTGCTGCTGCTGCAGCAAATTTTATTTCCGAGGTGCTGCTGCTGCTGCAGCAAATTTTATTTCCGAGGTGCTGCTGCTGCTGCAGGTTAATCAGCAAAAGGCAGCAGCTGCCTTGGAAGCAAAAGGCTGCACGTGTCTCAAGACACATTGCTTGAGGTATTATTTATTATTATTATTATTATTATTATTATTATTATTATTATTATTCCTATTATTGTTATTACTATTTTGATTATTATGAATATTATTGTTATTATTTGTTATTAGTAGTATTATTACTACAGTGATGAATATTACTTTAAATGAGAAATTCGAATTTGAAAAAAATTGAAGTTCACCAGCTAGCTAGCCAGCTAGCTAGCTGGCTTGCTAGCCGGCTAGCTAGCTGGCTAGCTAGCTGGTGGACTTCAATTGCAAGCAAAAATAATTGATGAATATAAAGTCAAAGGATAAATTTGAATTCGAAAAAAATTCACGTCCAGTGGCTAGCTAGCTAGCTAGCTAGCTGGCTAGCTAGCTAGCTAGCTAGCTAGCTGCTGGGGCTTTTTCCCTTCTTCGTGCATGCAAGAAGACAGGCAGAAACAGAAATCTTTTTCTCCCGTCCGAGTCAAATAAAGAGTCTCTTTTTATTCTTTTTAATTGTCTTAAAAGGCCCCATTTGAAGTTTCTTTTTCCCTTTTTAATTTCCTCGAAAAGTACCATTTAAGGTCTTTTTTAATTGTTTAAAATTGCCTCAAAAGGCAGCATTTAAGCTTATTTTAAAAGTTAAAAAAAGGCATTTAAAGGCTTTTTAATTTGTTTATAATTGTTTTAGAAATGAAAATATTCGCAAAGTTGAATTTGAAGAAAAAGTTCCCTTGACTGCATCAATTTGCAGTGTATGGACACCTGAGTGTGCAGTTAGCTTCCAAAGCAGCAGCAGAACTCAAAAGTCATTTTGTTTTGTTTTTAATTCATTTAAAAGAAAAAAACATTTTATTTTTGTTTTTAATTCATTTAAAAGAAAAAAGACATTTCATTTTTGTTTTTAATTCATTTAAAAGACAAAAAGATGAAACTTTGAGAGCTTTGCTGGAGTTGGCAGCTGAGGCACTGCAGCAAGGCAGCAGTTTGCTGCAGCAAAGCCCCAAATCTGCAATTTGCATGCAAAAAGTGGCAAACAAAACTTTATTATTATTATTATTATTATTGTTATTGTTATTATTGTTATTGTTATTATTATTATTATTGTTATTATTATTATTATTATTATTATTATTATTATTATTATTATTATTATTATTATTATTATTATTATATTTTTACTTTTATTTAAGTTTCAGCAGCTGCGGGACTTCGCCAAAAAGTTCATTTTGGTGTTAAATGCCAAAATGCATTTAGTCAAAACTCGGATGCATTTTCGCGAAAAGACTTTTCATTCTAAAGAATATATAATTCAATTTCTTCTTTTTTGCCTTTTGAAAAAAGATAATTCAATTTTCAAGTTTCTATATTTCGCATTTAAAAAAAGATAATTCAATTTTTTCAAGTTTTTATATTTTGCATTTTAAAGAGATAATTCAAGTTTTTCAAGTTTCTATATTTTGCATTAAAAAAATAGTTCATTTTTTTCAACTTTTTGTTTTTTGCATTTTAGAAAAGATAATTCAACTTTTCGAGATTTCCATTTTGCATTATTTGCAAAACAATGAGTGGTTTGGAGAAGTTAAAATTAATGCAGAAGTTTCAATGCAAAATATTTGTGGAAGCAAATTTGAAATAATTGAAATAAAAAGAAATTAAAAATAAAAAGAAATCAAAATAAAAAGAGTTTTACTTTTCAACTTGAGCAGAGCCCGAAAGCTTTTTTGAAAAGCCTTTTTCGAATTAAATTTTAAAAATACTTTTCCAGGAATTCGAAGAGAATAAGAACAATATTTTTAAAAAAGAATTAGTTTTGTTTTCGTCTTTTAAAAATAAAATTAGAACTAGTGAATACAAGATCTTTAAAAAGAATTTGATCTTTAAAAAATTAAAAAAAGATCTTTTAAAAGAATTAATGAATGGTCTTTAAAAAAGAATTAACACAAGGTCTCTTTATTTTCAAAATAAAGTCCAAATGGAAATGCCAAACTATATTTGAATTGTTTTCTTTACCATGCATGCATGCATGCATGCATGCATCCGCAGTGCATGCATGCATGCATTGCAGGGGAAATGCATGCATTTCGTTTGCATGCAAGTTTGTTTGTTGTTGCAAGTTTTGGCAATCTTTA